TGAGGCTGCGCAGGGCCAGACGCCTGTGCGCTGGTCAAGGCTAGCTTGGAGCGCAGTTCCCGCCTCTGCTGCCCGCAGACGTAGACGAATGCGGCTCTGACCCGTGTCTTAACGGAGGCTCGTGTGTGGATCTCGTGGGGAACTTCACCTGCCTGTGCGCAGAACCCTTCGAGGGACCACGCTGCGAGACAGGTAATGGGCACGTGCCCCCAACAGGTGACAGTGGTCTTGCGGGGTCACTGCCCCCTTTCCCTCCCTGTCTGGCTCAGCCCCGTCCGTCTCCTGCAACAGCTTGTCCCCTGAGTCTCTAACTGCGGGGGAACTGGAAGCAAATGACCGTCACTCTGGTCCTGCTCTGCCTCAGGTGCTGAGTGAGGCTGAGCAAGTCCTTTCTCCTCTCCTCACCTGGACTCCTTGCAAAATGCAGGGATGGCTGACCACACCCTCCAGGCCCCTCCCTCTGCTGGAGAGAGTCTTGACTTTTTAACCTCCTTCCTTCCTACTCCAGACCCCTCCCCATGCAGGGAACGCACCATGGGAGCCCAGGAAAACACCCAACCTTTACTGCGTGTGATGAAATCTGTTAGTTTCTATTCTGTTTCATATTGTTTTCAATGCTGGTTATAACTCAGATCAATGAAAAGACCCACTAGACTTTACAACCCAGGGCTGTTGTGTACAGCATTGCCCCCGCCCCGCCCCCCAGCAGCCTCCGCCCCTGTGCACCCAGCTCTTGGCAGCTTCTCCCCAGGGAGACGTTTCGGACAAAAAGTAGATTTACTTTGAGTGTAAAAACTTAAGAAGGAAATTACATTTTACCCATAAGTAAGACAAAGATGGACGTTGTGCCCACTGTTGGCCATTGGGTCAGATGGCCACATGCAGGGGGGCTGTGTCCTCAGGAGAGGGCAGCACCCCTACCTGCTTAGTTGCTTAAAATCACTATGTGTCAGTTTTCCTTGCCCAGTCGTTATCTAATATCAGTGTGCTTAACAAATTCATGTCAGAGAACAGCTAAGCAATTTCAAAGGATTTTGCAAAGAAACCACGTTTTGTACAGAATAAAGCAAATGAAAGCAAACAGGAAGAAACAACAGAATTGACGCTTCTACCCCTAATACTCGTATATGCTCATTAGCCACATTACAAGGTTTAGACCTTGATGTTCTAATCAGACCCAATAAGAAGTTGGCTGAAATCTGGAGAATATAGATAGATAGAGATAGATAGAGATGATATAAATATAGATGATATAGATATAGATATAGAGTGTATCTACCCTCCTGCTTCTGGCCAAGAAGGATTACTGCTCTGGGAATTTCCCTCTCACCATCAAGAACTAGTAAACCAGACAAAATATATGAAACAACAGTTTTTAGCCATTGGGCAACAGACAGCACAGGACCTGCGTGCAGAGGGGATGAGATGAGGTGAGCCCTAGTCGCCCCGGCTCTGCCCGGGGACAGCACAGGCCACTATGCATTGATGGGTCCAGCAATCCTCAGTCTCTGAGTCGAGCAGACAGAGACTCACGTTTGGTGGCTGGAATTCGTGGGTGGAATATCAGTGAGGATGGAGCTGCGGGGGGGGGGGGAGACAAAGAAGGGAGGGAGCATGAAATCAAGTTCTGAAGCTCTGCAGAGGGACCCACTTGAGTGTCTGGTCAGTGCAGTCTGGGTGGGTGAAATCCACTAGGCTGGGAGAGGTGAGTGCAATGGCCCCTGGCTCTCTGCAGGGCTGGTAACAACTTGCCTCTCCACCAGCCCGAGTGGAGGGAGCTCTTTGTACCCAGAGCCCGCCCTGCGTGGCGTCCTCAGTGGAGCACCACCTTCGCAGTGAGCATAAATAAAAGCTGGACTAAAGGCGAGTCTGACCTGCCCTAACAATCCAAAAGGAAGTTTGAAGGCCCAGACGGATCCCAAGTACTTTAGCCTTTTCCCTGAATAAAACCCAGTACTCTTCAAAGGAATATAACAGAACCCAGGACTCCGAAATAGGCAATAAAAAATTATCAGGCATACAAAGAATTAATATATGACCCATATCAGGAGAAAAATAGATCAATAAAAACAGATGCCAGAGAGGACTGAATTAGCAGATGCGAATGTGGGATCACCTATGATGCATATGCCCAAGACTGATAAGGGAATAGATCATAATGAGAAGTAGGAGATAAAGAAACTTCTAGAGATGAAAATATATTTCAAAAATAACACTGGATTACATCAACAGCAGGTTAGACACTGCAGAAGGAAATATCAGTGAACTTGACGAGAGAAATAGAAACAATTCAACATGTAGCTCAGAGAATGTGACTAAGAGGCCAGCTTCAGTGACTGGGACAGATGTCAAGGAGTCTCATACATGTGCATTTGGAATCCCAGGAGGAGGGAGCAGCTGGGGGCACAGGAAAAATATATGAAGATACATTTGCTACATTTAATGAAAACTGAAAGCTACATATCCAAGAAAAGCATGAAGAAAACCACATGAAGCCACATCAAAAGCAACTTGCCAAAAATCAATAACAAAGAGAAAATCTTAAATGTAGCCAGAGGAAAAAGACACAGTCCAAAGACAGCAATAGGGTGACAGCAGACGTCCCGTTATAGACACTACAAGCCCAAGATGGCGGGCAGCATCTTTAAAATGCAGGAAGGAAAACTATCAATCTACTAGTGTACACCAAGAAAAACTACTTTCAAAATGAAGGTGGAATGAAGACTTTTTCTGACAGCAAAAACTGACAGGATTCATCACCAGCATACCTGTATTACAAGAAATGTTAAAGGAAGTTCTTTAGACAGAAGAAAAATGGTACCAGATGAAAATCTGGATCTATGCCAAGGAATGAAGCGTTCTAGTGATGGTAAATATATGGGTACCCATGAGCCTTTTCTCTTTGTCCTTTAATCTCTTTAAAGATAATTTTTTTTTCTTAGCTGGGCCATCCTGCCACCTGTTGGCAGCTCAGCGGCAGCTCAGCTCGGGCCGGGAATTGAACTGGCGCCCCTGTTGCTCAGAGCTCACACTCTTGAGTGAACTCTTAACCGATTGAGCCACTAGGCCGGCCTCCAGTAAAGATAATTTTTAAGAGAAAATAATAACAATATAGTTTGGGGTAACAGATATAGAAATCAAATACATGACACCAATGGCTTAAAGCAGAGTGTGCTAGCTTTTTATGTTAAGGGCCAGATATTAGTATTTTTGGCTTTACAGCCACATGGTCACAGCTACTGAACTCTGCCAGTGGAATGCAAAGCAGGACCCACAGACAATACATAAACGAATGGGCAGGGCTGTGTTCCAATGGAACTTTATTTTTAAGAACTGGTGGCAGGCGAGACTTGGTCTGTGGGACAGTTTATCAGCCTCTGGGTAAAGGCCAGGAAGGGAGAGATAGATATGATATTGTCAGGTCCTTCCGCTGTGTATGAAGTGGAAGGACGCTGCCTGTGGCCCTGAAGAAGGGGAACAGGGACGTGTTTGGGTGCTGGAAGGTTCTGATCCTGAGGGTGGTGGGGGTCACACAAATCTACACACGTTACAATTCATGGACGTGTATAGCAAACAAAAGTCAATTTTGCTATATATTAATTTAACAGATAAATTCTGAAACTACATGAAGACACTGAGCACCTAGGAAATGAAGAGGACTAGGCGGGCCGACACTCATCGAGAGAAGCTGGCCGGGCTACATCCGTATCAGACAGATTAAACGGGAGCACAAGGCACCCTGCCAGGGAGGAGGAGGGACCTTCTATGACGACAAAGGGTCATTCTTCAAGAAGACAGAACAGCTCTAAATACACTATTAACGTGAGTCAAAATATATGAAGTGGAAGCTGACAGAACTCCGAGGAGCAATAGATCATCATTCCAGGCGGAGTTTCAGCACTGCACTCTCCGCCCCTCGACCACGTGGACAGAAGTCAGGAAGGACAGCAAGCCTGCCCAGCACTGTCGGCCAGCCTGAGCTGACTGGCATTGGCACGTACACTCTTTCCACGTGCTCAGGCAGCGCTCACCGAGATGGACCACCCTGCAGGCCATAAAATAAGGCTCAGTAAATTGAAAAGGATTGTGTTCTCTGCCCACGGCAAAGTTAAACTAGAAACCAACAGAAAGGTATCTGGAAAATCCCAACGTTTTACCCAGAGATGCCTGCTCAGAAGCGTCTGGAGGCCTCCGGCCTTAGTGGGCCCTTCTCACCCTTGCTTCTCATTCTGCTCCAAACTGGGGGCTCCGCCAGTGGGGGCAGCAGGAAGTCAGCTTCCAGAAAACAGGCCTTAGGCTTGAGCTCCACTTGGCACTGAGAACAGAGTTTGAAGCCCTGACGTGTGCTGTGGCCTCTGGTGACCACGGTCTTTCTTGCAGGAAGCCAACCAGTGCCCGACGCCTGCCTGTCGGCCCCTTGCCAGAACGGGGGCACCTGTGTGGACGCGGATCAGGGCTACGTGTGCGAGTGCCCGGAAGGCTTCATGGGCCTCGACTGCAGGGAGAGTGCGTGCGGGCCGGGCTGGGGCCTCCTGTGGGGTGCGCATGCTGGAAGACAGAGGGGTGTGCATGCAAACACCCAGGACAGAATGTGTGAGAGTGGGAGGCGGCACACCGCAGCTTTTATGGGAAGGTCACCAGGGGCAGGGCTAGGGCAGGAGAGGCCCCTCCTGCACCTCATTAGACGCTCCTCCCTGTGTCCATGGCAGGAACCCCCAAGGACGACTGTGAGTGTCACAACGGAGGTAGATGCCTGGGAGCCAACGCCACCCTCTGCCAGTGCCCCCCAGGCTTCTTTGGGTTCCTCTGCGAATTTGGTAGGCAACCGGGGCGGGGCAGGTGGGGGCGGGGGGAAGGGGGTGTCCTCTTTGCCCTGCCCCAGAGCATCCCCCAACCAGGGTTTAAATGGTGGGCCTGGACTGGGACCCCCAGGTCTAGGTCCTCCACAGTGGGGGTCCGTGACCCCCACCCCAGGAGGGGGCCGGCCTCAAAAGTGCCTGAACCTGGTCACCCTGGGGAGGACGCTGGGTTCTGCGCAGCCCAACTCTTGTCAAGGACCCAAGATCCCCGGGACCGCCTGAGACGGGGCTTCCTCCTGTCCCTGCAGAAGTCACGGCCACGCCCTGCAACGTGAACACGCAGTGCCCGGACGGGGGCTACTGCATGGAGTACGGGGGGAGCTACCTGTGCGTCTGCCACACCCACCACAACGTCAGTCACTGTGAGTGCGGGGGCGGGCGCGGGCGCGGGGAGGAGCCTGGGGCTGGGGTGCTGCCCAGAACCCCGGCGGTGGTGTTTGGAGGAAGGTGGGCAAGGAGCCCAGGCAGATCAGGGCCTCGCCGCTGGGCCCGAGGGCCGGCATGCGAGCGCCTCCCGAGCCCTCCTCCGCGGCGCCCGGCTGGCCGGGGGTCCCACCCTGCGCGCGGCCCCGAGCTCGCGGCCGGATGCGCCCCGCCGCCCACACACTCTGAGCAGCGCCCTGCCCAAGCCCCTGGCTTCTCTGTCAGGACACGCACCGCTGTTACTGGTCAGTGCACGGCCATAGAACGCCCTACGCAGCGTGTCATCACCTGTGACGGTGGGGGTGGGGTGGGGGGTGCAGACAGCCTGGACCACAGCTCAATCCGAGCTCATACCAGAGGGAGGCTGAATTCTGGAAAAATCAGGAATCAAAGAAATCTCAGGGAGGGGCTCTAGGGCCCAGCGTGAAGAATCAAGACCCGGCAGTGGCCGTGGTTCCAGCCAGGGTGTCAGGGTGAACCTGGCATGTGGGGCCCCTCCAGCCTCTGGCCAGGGATGTGTCGCCAGCTCCAGGGCCGCCCTCTGCCCCCACAGCACTGCCGTCGCCCTGCGACTCGGACCCCTGCTTCAACGGAGGCTCTTGTGACGCCCACGACGACTCCTACACTTGCGAGTGCCCCCGGGGGTTCCACGGCAGGCACTGCGAGAAAGGTGGGCATCAGCACCCCGGACAGCGCCCCCTTCCACTCACCTGGGTTGTCCGTTAGTTCAGTGCTCACCTCCCAGGGTTTCATCTGCGGCTGCTCCTTCTGGCCGTCGCTTTGCTTTCCTCAGAATAGGCTTCATTTCCTGTCGGAATTCTTCTAATTAGATTTTAGAATCATTGCCTTGAAAAAAAATCCGTTAGGAATTTGTTCAAATCAGCTTGGAGGCTGTCAACATTTTACGACATTTAGCCACTGAAGAGTGTAAATATTCTTCCCTAAGTGCCTTGCAGGCGTTGCTGTCCTCACTAGCACCAAACCGGACTGTCCCTTCTGTGCAGTGTGTAGCCGTGACCATGTGCCCCAGGGAGCCCAGAGGGCCAGCCACCTGACCCCAGTGTGACCGAGGCCCATCTTCCTGAGGCTTGGGGACTGGGTCATGTACACCCCTGCAGCCCTCCCGCTGCCCTGGGCGTGACCGCTCAGGGTGAGAGATGGACGTGCCTCTCCATTCACACCTTGAACTGTGTGGACGCCCCAGCCCAGGCCGAGGTGCATGAGCGCCAACGCATTCGGTTACCCACTGTGCAGAAGGGTCGGCTCTCCACCAGGAAGGGCCCAGCAGTCCTGAGCCTGGGGCAGAGAACAGAGGCTGGGCAGGCTGGGGGGGTCTCCAGACGGCGAGTCCGGCTCCAGCGTGCACTTGGCCTGTGGGACTCAGCGGAGAAACAGGCTCGGGCCCAGAGGGCTGAGAGGACTGAGTGGGCCATTGTGGGCACGGCCGGGCCGGGAGGCTGGGCGTCGTTCAGCTCCCTCTCGCGATCCCTCTGTCCCTCCTCACAGCCCGGCCACGCCTGTGCAGCTCGGGGCCCTGCCGGAATGGGGGCACGTGCAAGGAGGCGGGCGGCGAGTACCACTGCAGCTGCCCCTACCGCTTCACCGGGAGGCACTGCGAGATCGGTGAGGCCCCAGCCGACTGGGATCAGCCAGGAGGGCGTGGGGTGGGGGCAGCCCGAGACCCCCGACCTGGCCGCCATGTGTCTGCTTGTTGGGAGCGTCCCAGTGAAGGCCCCTGGCTCTGGGATGTTGGGGACCAGGGGAGGAGCAGCAGTTGTGGGCACACGGCACCTGATGCCAACAGCTCCTTCTGCTTCCAGGGAAGCCCGACTCGTGTGCCTCAGGCCCCTGTCACAACGGAGGCACCTGCTTCCACTACATTGGCAAATACAAATGTGACTGTCCCCCAGGCTTCTCCGGGCGGCACTGTGAGATAGGTAAGGTGGACGCAGGCCAGCGGCCAGACCCCAGAAGGGCTGGCCCAGGCAGCGGGACAGGAGGGGACATCCCTGCAGCCCAGAGGCCTTCAGAAAGAACGCGGTGATGGATGACGGTGACCCTCTGTGCCCTTGTAGCCCCCTCCCCCTGCTTCCGGAGCCCCTGTGTGAATGGGGGTACCTGTGAGGACCTGGGCACAGATTTCTTCTGCCGCTGTCAGGCAGGGTACACGGGACGCCGGTGCCAGGCGGGTGAGAGCGCCAGGGGGTCAGGGTGGGGGCACGGGAGTTCTCCCTAATCCTGGAAGAGCAGGGCAGGGCAGGGGTAGAGAGGAGGGACGGGGAGAAGGAAAGGAGATCTCTAAACAGCCTGTGCTGGGAGTCGGGGCCCCTTCCCTGTGGGACATGCTGTGTGGGGAGTAGAGGTGCAGGTCTTCAGCCTGGGGGGGCAGACGGCAGAGCAGCGTGTGGAGGGGGCAGGGGCCCTGAGGTGCAGGGCGGGGTTGTGCTGTCCTTGCAGAGGTGGACTGCGGCCCCCCTGAGGAGGTGAAGCATGCAACACTGCGCTTCAATGGCACTCGGTGGGGCTCCGTGGCCCTGTACTTGTGTGACCGAGGCTACAGCCTGAGTGTCCCCAACTCCGTCCGGGTCTGCCAGCCACAGGGTGTCTGGAGCGAGCCTCCCCAGTGCCACGGTGAGCGGGCCCTCTGGGGTGGGGCAGGCGGGCGGGAAGAGCCCATGAGACCGCACCCCCCTCACCCGGCCACGTGGAGGAGCTCAGGGGTGCAGTTCTGACCGTGTCCCTGCCCCTCCTCCCCTTGGTCTCCGACCCACGAAATGAGGCCATAAGCCTGAGGTGACGGTGGGGTGACCGGTGCCAGCTTTCCATCCTGGGTCGTCACTAAGGGCTCCTCTGTCCTCAGCAGCCCAGACCTGGGGCTGCGACACCCACATGCCCACTCTGCAGATAAAGCAGCTGAGGCCCGGAGGGAGCCCAGGGCAGGTCCGGGTTCAGATTTCCAAACCACTGGTGAGCTCTATCAAACATTTAAGAAAGGAATAATACCTATATGAGCTCTTTTAGAAAATATAGGAGGAAGGAGCATTTCTCAACTCAGTTTATGAGACCAGTATTGCCATGATACCGAAACCAGAGAGAGACATTACAAAAAATAAAATTCCAGACTAACAGTCCTCATGAACATAGACACAAAAATCCTAACAAAATATTACTGAGTCAAACCCAGTATTACATAAAAAGGAGAATATATCATGACCAAGTGGGATTTATCTCAAGAACACAGGCTGGTTTAACATTTGAAAATCAATCAATGTAATTCACAATATTAGGAGATAAAGGAGAAAACCATATCATCTCAATAGACACAGAAAAATCATTTGACAAAATTCAACTATTATTAAAAAACTCTTAATTAAGAGTAGAGGGAATTTCTTCAGCCTGATAAAAGGCACTTTTAAAAAACCAACAGCCAACAAACTACTTACTGGTGAAAGACTTCCCGAGATAGTCAGTGACAAGGTGAGTGTGTCCATTTCACCCGCTCCTCCCAACGCTTTCCTAGAGGTCCTAGACGGTGCCACAAACAAGCAGAGGGAATAAAAGCAATGTCTCTTGGAAAGGAGGAAGTAAAGATGACATGATCATGCACACAGAAAATTCTAAGCAAATTCTATAGAAAAAGCTGTAGAACTAGTAAGTGAATTCAACTAGGTCATAGGATACGGGTCAATATACAGAACCAGTTATATTTTCATATTCTAGAAGTGAACACTTGAGAAATAAAACAGTATCATGCATAATAGCATCAAAAACATAATACATTTTATGTGTCAAATTGATTATAGACATAAATGTAAAAGTTAAAAACTATAAACTTTTTTTAAAAAGCACATGAGAAAATCTTCATGACAGCTGGGATAAAACGGTCACGCGCTTGGGAAAAGATGACGTTAGTTTTCTACTTCTCACCCTATACAACAATTAATTCCATATGGATTAAGGACTTAAATGTTTTCTAATTATATATTTTTGTGTGGAAAATATAGGTAAATATCTTTTTGGCCTTGGGGTAAGGAAAGATTCCTTAAACCATAAAAAAAAAGCACTAACAATAAAAGAAAAAAATGGACAATTTGACTATATAAAAGTTAGAAACTTAAATTCATCAGCCTTAAAGAAGAAAGTGAAACGTAAGCTACACACTGGTTTCAAGAACATATGAAGAACTCTATGAATCAGTCAGAAAGGAATAATCAACCCGGTAGGAAAAGTAGCAGACCTCCTGGACAGGCATCCGTGGAAGTGGAGAGAGTGAACCAGCAAACAGAAAAGGAACGCCGGCAGCCACCCAAGTGCAGGTCCAAAGCACAGTGAGATGCATTCATGGGGCAAAGCTTCACAAGTCTAACGTGTGTCGGGGAGACAGCAGGTCAGCAGGACGTCTCAGAAATCGCTGGAGGGAGTGTACACTGGTTTAAGTACTTTGAAAACGACTTGGTAATTTGCCTGTTGACTGTGCACACAGACTGTGTGGCAGAGGTTCCACTTCCAGGTATAAATCTAGGAAAAGCTTGCACATGTGCCCCAGGAGATGTGAGAGAATATACACAGAAGCATCTTTTTTGGTTTTGGTTTTTGGTTTTTTTGCAATAGCAAGAAGCCTAGAACCAATCCAAATGTGCACCAAACAAAGATGAATGACGTATGTTGTGATGACCCACCACATGAAAACACTAACGTGACGTGGAGAGAAGAGTAGTGTGAAACTGTTCTACCAATAAAGCTCATGACAGCAGAGACAAGACCATATATACAGTGCTGTTTAGGCAATTCATAAAAATTTAAAATTAAAGATGCAGAGAGACGATAGCCACAGAAACCCGTGTCACATGGGCTGGAGTCGTGCATGTGACCAGATGAGCCCGTCAGTGTTCTAGCTCCCAGGTGGGGTGCTGGCCCCCAGGTGTCATGATGTCACTACTATTTATTTATTTACATGTAAGCGTTCCAATTAGACTTTTCTAAATTGAACATTTTGAACTCAGGAGCACAAACCCCAGGTTAAGAAAAACACATGGCAAATATTTTAAAACGAAGGCCTCATCCCCATTGTATCGGTTTCATACACGATTGCTATTTATTGAATTGGCAAGATTGGGCCCGTCTACCTGAGAGCCGTTGGAATGGAGTCCCACAGTGTCTTCTGAGAACCCCCAAGGTCATTATTCACAGACAGAGCCCAGCACTGAGCCCCACGTCTGCCACTTGCCCAACCTGGACCCTGGCCCCTCCGAGCACTCAGGAGATGTCACAGAATTCCGCCCAGCTCCTCCGAACAAAACTCATGTCCGTCTTAATTTGGCTTCAAGCCATTGCCTCTAATGACACAGCACTACTTTATTCTTGGGGTCTCTCCTGGCTCCCGCACCCGGGTGCTCCTCTCCCAGAAATTGACGAGTGCCGATCCCAGCCGTGCCTGCATGGGGGCTCCTGCCAGGACCAAGTCGCCGGCTACCAGTGCGTCTGCAGCCCAGGGCATGAAGGAGCCCACTGTGAACTGGGTAAGACGGGTCCGGCCCTCACTGCCAGGTGGCAGCTCCAGCACCTGGTCATGGGCCTGAGGCACTGGGGTCCCCCTGGCCACAGTCACCTTGCTTCAGCCAGTCCTCTCCCTGGGCTGGTCTCTGGTTGGGGACTGCCTACGCCCTCAGGCCCCTGCCTGCTCTAATGTCCAGAAGGACAGTGGTTTACAGACCTCTCTGCCTCCACCTTCCTGGGGAGATAGAGCTCAACTGAGAAACGCTGACCGCTGACCAACCCTCTTCTCCTGCCTCCTGCAGACTCTGGCCTCAGGACAGAGAAAGTGGGGTTTGGAGAGGGCGGGTCACACCCATGATGCCTGGCCACTGCTTGGAGCTGGCCGGAGGGAGGGAAGGCCTGCCAGGTGCACGGCCAGACGAGCCCTGCACCCCTCACACCTGTGTAGGGCTCTAAGCCCTGAGAGAGAGACACTGCCCCAGGGACAGCCAGGCCCAGGGTATCCAGTCAGGGCCCCTGTGTAGCCTGGGCAGTGAAATGCAGGAGCAGCCTGGGAATGGGGGCTTTGTGGGGCAGACC